AGTGAATACCCGGGAATAAAAGAAGAGAAAATCTCTCAAAAGCACAACTATAAGTGCAGTTTTCAGAAAAAAATGCATTAATCTCAGTGATTTAAAGCCGTTTCTGTCATCTTCTTTTTAACTCCAGCTATAGAAATCTGCAGAGTAGCTCTTCTAGTCAATGGTGGCTTAACACAGAATCCACTCCAGAAGGTTTTTAAGGCAATGGAGGCTTTGGAGTGTACAAGGTTGGCATTTAGCGCCTTAATCTGACGGATGAGTGTGACATTGTGCATTAGAGCATGTTAATCTGGCTCCCTATTGACCCTTGATATCATTGATACAGTATCATCACATCACAAACGCAAGAATAAAGACGCTCACTGAGCTCAAATATGAGAAAAACCCACTTGGGCTGAAGAGAGAGAGAGAGATGGAGCTTGATAATGAAGAAGAAAAGGCAGAAGTTGTAGTGGATGATGAGTTGGAAGCATAAAAGGAAAGCGCGAGCGATGGAGGAGAGAAGTGTGGATGTGTGTGTTATAAAGAGGGTCAATAGCATGGGTCAGGCATCATATGGAGAAGCAGATGTTGGAACATATTGTCCTGGATTATCGCACTGTACACCGGAGACGTAGATGGACGAACAACGGATGGGCGGGTAAAAGAGGAGGAGGGGGCTGGGAGAAAAAAAAAAAAAAAGAGGAAGGAACAGATGAGAGATGGTAACGGAGAAATCAATGGAGCGGCTCTTTTCTCAACAAAACCTTATCTGATAAATGGAGGAAGGGTAAAAGCGAAGCAGTTTTGTGTAGATGCGTGAATCCCTCAGTGGTGGTATCTGCTCCGAGGTGTAAATGGACTCTGGGAAGATTCTGCACGGATCAATGAAAAATCAATGGGCGGCACAGATAGGCGACCATGTTTGTTCAAACCCTGCCTCGTCAGCGTGGAAAAATGGCTTTGTTGTTATCGCCCAACGACAAAGGCAATTAAGTTTTTGCCAATGTCTGTAAGTTTGTTACCAAAACATCTCATTAACCACTGGATGAACTAAACTAACACGGATACAACTTGGGCAGTTCAAAACAGAACAATTACAGAAAGGCAGCGGGTGATCTGCAGTCCCTCAAAGAATCCTGGGCCTTGAATTCATTTTGTTTTTAAATTCTACTCCGCACGAGTATTAAAATGTCTTTTGAATCCACTTGACAATAATTAGTAACTTTATGAGTAATAAACAGCTAATAAAGCAGTTAATAACTGTGCTGTAAACAGTGAAACTGACAAAAGACGAATGTTTTGTCAAAACTTGAGCATGCTTCTGTTTATGAACAAGGTTTTACAAGTGACTTATTAAGGCTTATTGATGCTTTATAAGATTTACAATAAATACACTTTCACCTTTTTTAAAAGGTGCTCTTATTATAAAGTACCTAAGCATAGTTAAAAACTTACCTTTAAACATGTTGTAAATGTCCAAAACAGGAGCTCCACCAAGGAGGTGTCAGGAGGTACAATGGCCACCCCGGAAAAGTTGATGCCACTAGCAGGGCTTACCTTGTAAACCAATAGATGCTGGAATGCAAATAGTGGGTAGGCCAGCGGGGTGGTGGGTCTGAGGGTACTCCCCCAGAAAATTTTGAATAAATGTCACAGGCCCGGACGAGCCCCCACTTGTCACTGACCCGGCTCATGGCTAACAAGAATGAGGGGAGACAAAGGTATGGGCCAATTAAAATAGTTTTATTGCGCAAACAAAACGGGTCGTTAAGCATCTAGGTTTATCTAAATTTGTAAACACTCCACTTCTGTCAAGCATCCTACCCCCCTCCCATTACTTAATATCTCGAAGCCCATCTCTTCTCCGCTGAACTCACTGTCCAACTCCACATGTGAAGCCTCTAGGCGCCTCCATCTCTTCATGGCGGCTGCCTGTGGGCTCCTGCCTGCGTACGACTGTCTGGTTAGCTCGGCACTCACTCCCACCGCTCTTTTAGGGGTGGAGATTTTTTTAAGGTTAGACACAAAAATGCTACTTGAAGGGGCAGCTCGCATTCTTGCAAGTGGCTGTTGTGTTTAAAATGAATGTTTATGTAATTATTTTCAGTTTGCATATCCAATATAAGTTTTATTAATTCAAGGCGGTCATATTTGTTCATAACTTTATTATTAGTCAGCCTGAGAGTTACTGGATCCAAGCAAACAGTTAACGGAACGGAACCCTGTCAAAATAAGAGTTCCCGGATCCTGTTCCAGCAGGATCCAGCTCAAATTAAGCCCTGGCCACTAGTCCAAAAGCTAGAGAAAGATGCTAATGCACCATAACTCATAAATAATCAGTCTACAGATGCTTGTTTTTCCTTTTCTTTAAGCAGAAAAACACCTCATGTGGAAAAACAAAGTGTCTGAGGACAATCCTTTCAAATCCATACTCGTGTCTGTGTAAACAATGACGCTGAGATCGCTCCGAAGCACCGCTAACTCAGACAACAATGATCAGGGGAGGTTTAAATCTGACTTAAGCTGCAGATTATTGACCAGCACACACACTCAGATAAACAGCAAAACAACAGACACATGCAGCTTATTGTTTTCCAGTGAACACACACACACGGTGTCAATAGTACTAATACCACACAATCACATTGAGTCTCGAGTCCGAGATCGCCAATAATCCCACATCGCCTTTTCACCTTCAATCGATAGAGCACACACACACACACACCACAAACGCATACATAGATGTGTCAGAGGGGACATCTCACACTCGCTGACCACTCCACATGTGAATATGTGCTTACACAAACACATGCAGATGTTGCTGGCCTCACTTTAGGGGATTAGGGACAGAAAGAGTGAGAAGCAGGTCTTAATGGATGTGCACACACACACACACTCTGACATTTGAAATTCTTTACTCTCGTCCAGCATTGTGTTGGTGTGTTTGTGTTGATTCCAGTGTGTGTTTGCTCCTCCAGCCACCCCAGGGGGCTTTGCGCTGTCACTTCCTGTTTGTTGACATGCATGTCGTCGTGGCGATGCTCTGGGCACGCTCCACAGTGCCGCTGCCCTCTGTGCCGTGTGTGTGTGTGTGTGTGAGTGAGAGAGAGACAGTGAGAGATTTCTGGCCGGCCCATTGAGCAGCTTTGAGTGACGTGAGCTGGCCCTGTAATGGAACTCAATTCAGACTACAAATAAAGAGGCCTTTGAACTACTGGTCCGAATATGGCAACACACACACACAGGGATGCACACCGCCTGTGGTGGACTTGCTGGGGTGGGCTGGCTTGTGGAAAGGGGAGTTTGCGCTTGGCTGCGTCTCCACCTCCTCTCCAGAGCAGCTAATTGAAGAGAAACGAGCGGCGGACGATCTGATCCAAACTCAAATGAAATGCAGAGAAAAACGACCAAAGTGTGAAAACTCTGAGCTTCACAGTTCAGGGTTTTATCAACGTGAAGTATCGAAGGGAGCAGCAGGGAGGAAGTGACCCTGCTGCTCTATCGCCCGCCGACTTTCATGACAGAGTTGGACTAAAGTCTTGTTTTCAGAATTGATGGTGTTGTAGACATTAAGTGTCAGCTACTACCACACCGAATGTTAGCTCAATATCTGCAAAACTAACTAAAGTTAAGCCATTTGGATGTTGGGTAAGATTAACTAACCGTAGCATCCATCTTATCAGTTGTAGATGTTCATCCACTGCTTTTATGTTTTCCTCTTTGTGTGGTTCATGAGATATTTTGACTCCTCCTTGCAACATCTAAATATTTGGAATGACAAGAGTCCTCTTACAAATTTAATTGAGTGGAACTAGACAAAGGGCTGGAACAAACATCACCGTCGTAAACTTGAAGTGAATATTATCATCACATCTGACTGACACTCAGAGAGTCATCCCTAAAGTATGCTTTTGTGTGCGTTTGTCTCATTTTCCGCCCATTTTTCTTTCGAACAAAAATAAATTAACGTCTTTATTTGAGACGGGAGAGGAGAGCAGGAGGTAACGTGGCTGCCGAGGGAGATAGAGCGAGGTACAAACAGACGAGAGCAAGATGGAGGGAGAAATAGCAGTGACAGCATCTCCTTCCTTGTCCATTTGCATAAACCAGCCTTTGTTTGACGCTGGTGGCCGGCAGCCAAACTCCAACAGAAGGACAGAAGTTGAACTCAAAAAAATAAAAAGAAATTGTCCTCATCCAGAAAATTATTCCTCCAGAAATAAATAACTGTTCAAAAACAACAACATCAGTTACTTTCTGAGTGAAGCAGCCATTCTGGTGCTCCTCAGAAAACAATTCGCCGTCTTGGAGATTCGCATTAGCCGACATGAAAGTAATTGAGCTTCGCAGGATAATTTTGAAAGAGACAGAAGTGTTTAGGAACACTGAAGCTCCTTCCAAATTGTGTGTATTATGGGGTGTGTGTTGCTGCGGAAAATCCAGCCAGAGACTGTTTAGTGTGACACAATGGTATTGCATAAATATACCGGGGTATATTCACAGCACAGCAGCTTGCACCATAATGATTTAATTTAATTGGAAACTAATTAAATACATAAATAAAAAGAACAGAGCTGTGTGTGTTTTTGTGTTTTGGGCGATTTCACAGCATTTCTGTGCCGTTGTTGGAAAAGAAAACACAAAGACAAGACGTTGCTGCGTCTAGTTTCGCTCTTTTTTTTTTTTTGTCCACCTTGAGCCGGAGCCTCTCCGGTGTGACCTCGATAGTCGGGAGTGTTTGCCTTTCTCCCACGATGCACCTGGAGGGGACATCTCTGGGCCTGTCAGAGAGGCTGTTAGCGCTTCTCCCATGGGGTGAGGGAGGGGAGGCTGACGCTGGAAATGTCCCCCTGTCGCACAAACGAGAGGCCGGGCCACTAATGGCCTCTTCTTCCAGAGCTTTTCAGCTGCCTTCTTCATTTTTTATTTTTATTTTGTTGGTGTGCTCTCATGTTTTCATTTATTCATGTCATCTTTTCTTCTCCCCCCCCACCCCCACCTCGTCTCTGACCTAGCAGCAGTTGTACGCAGCTCAGCTGGCGGCCATGCAGGTTTCCCCGGGGGCCAAGCAGCACGGAGGCAGCCTTCCACCCCAAGCTAACTTGGGCGCACACTCCCCACCCACCAACACACATCCACAGAGCGACAAGGGCCGCAGCCCCCCACCAACGAGCAAGACTAAGGTAAACAAATTAAAATAAGGGGCTTGTGTTTGTGCATGTTCCAGCGCTCAGCTGACGACCTGAAACCCAACCCACGACAAGTCGTCGTGCGAAGTTCATTGGTAACTCAATTCCTGAGCGTCCGAATGAACGTTGTGAAAGTGCATGAGCTGAACATGTGCTCGAGTTGTGCCTCAGTTTCTCCTCCAGTCAGACAAACGTCAGCTGCTTCACCCGGGTTAAAACACGGCTCCCCGACAGAAAAATTAAATTAAAATGCAGCAGTGCAACTTTATGAGCAGAACCGCAGCTGGTGGCCATTTTAGGATTCGTTGGTGTTTTTGTAGTTTTTCTGCTCGATGGGGGGGATGAGAGGAAACCTGGTGTCCATCCAGGTGGAATTCTATGAATATCTGGCCCTGCACCATAAACACCCCATGTCTGTCCATCACTAAACACGCAGGGACGCTCACCTTTTACTACTTTCTACAACTTTAAATTTATTTCTCATGTCCTTGCGCCTTCGTTTTGGACCAGTACAATCTAAACTCTTACGGTCGACCCCGAGCTCGTCCCCCGTGACCTTGTCCGTCAGCTCCTCCTCCTACCTCCATCACCCTCAGTAACCATCGCACCCTGCTGTCACACGTCTTATTTCCATATATATGGAGTTGGGCTGACAGGTGAGTGCCATGGCCTGTTGTGGAGGGGGGGCATAATGGCCTTCCCTGTCCAGCAGGAGTGACTGGGGAGTGGACCCCGACAGTCCCCACGAAGCTGAAATGGCAGATTGACCACAGAGTTGTGGACGTCAATAAAAACTGAAGAGTTTTAAAGATGTTTTCATTCGGACTGACCACGGACGCACCCTCGCTCGTCCCTGCCAAACCCGTCCTCCAACTCTCGTCGGCCAAGCGACATGTATATTTCAGTGTTGTGCTCCCCACGTGGGCTCCATCTCAGGTCCCCAGTCATTTAGAAACCCAGCGCCTGGCTCTGCTCACAGCTGTTTGGACTCAGGCGCACACAGCTTAAGTGCTTTACCCTCGGGTGAGACACAGACACACACCGGTTACAGAACAAGACACCAGAACACACACACCCGCGCTTAAATCACTGCTGACTACATTCAGCTTTCTCATATGCAAGAGTGGATCTTCAGACGTAGGCATGCATGCAGACTCGTACAACAGAGGTCACATTTCTGCACCGTATGGAGCTCTTTTTGCTCAGCAGCATCACAGACACGCAGCGGTGGAGACTCCAACCACTCAAGTTTTATTCCCATCTCCAACATAAGTTTAGGTCCGGATCGTAAAACTGATCGAGTTAGCGGCTCTTTTTAAGGTTAGACGAGTGCGGCAGCCATCTTGAATCTGGTTGACTCGATGTACATCCGAAGCTCGATCAGGTGTTTCGGTAACAGAAAAACACGGGTAATAAAAAAACATTTAAAATAGGAATAATGGTTTTAGTCCGCATGATTTCCTTTAAAGCTTAATGCACCGTGCATAAATCTGTCGTATAGATTTAATGTTGGTGTATTCAGTAGGTCACCTAAGATAAAACACGATGTGTTGAAACTAAATATGAAAGTGAAATGATACATTTCTAAAAGAGTATTACCAATTTTACTTTGACAGAGGCCAACTTCAAAAAAATCTAAAACTGTCCTTGGTGTGGAATGAACAGTTAATATCTTACCTGCTGTAGATATCTTTAACTACCCCAGTTTGGATCAGTTTAATTCTGACAGGACTGACAAGCTAACAGCTAGTCCGAGCAGCTCCAAGAGCTCAAAACCTTCATAGCAGTTGAATGTTAACCTGCACAGTGTCCAGGCTGCGTCAGCTAGTTAGCGCTGCAGCTTTGAGCGCACATGTAAATATGATCATTTGACCATAGCGTAGATGTAGGTTGCATAAACTGCTATGAAATTTGACACTGGAGTTGTTTTAAGATAATTATCCACGTTGGACTAGCCATTAGCTCGTCAATCTGGTGGACATGAAACCGAGGTCATTCAAAGATGTATCTACAGCAGGTAAGATAGTTATTGTGCATAACCTTCCTACAGAACCACTGAATTCCTAATGTGCGTTTATATCAAGACTCAGACAGATGAATGTTGAGAAGCTCCTTAATTTTTTGGAAAATGATTTGAAAGCAGCAAACTGCTGTCAGTCTGGAGACTACCTACCATCCATCTATCCATCCATCTATCTACCTGTCCATCCATCCATCTATCCATCCATCTATCCATCCATCTATCTATCCATCTACCTACCATCTATCCATCCATCTATCTATCCATCTACCTACCATC